CCATCCACTGCTTCAGACACCAACCACAATGCTAGGTTGTAACGTGTGTGTCACACGAAGGAGCTATAAATCGTAGTTCTTATGTTTACCTATTTATTGTGAAGAATATTACAAAAAACACAGATGAATGGCCAGATGGAAGAGAGGCATAGGGTGAGGACTATGGGAAGGGGAGCTTCCAGGCTCACCACTATCCAGACACCTGGAGCACTATCCAGAAGCCCCCTGAACACTATTCTTTTGGGGCTTTACGGAGGATTCATTACACAGGCATCATTGGCTATTGGTTATTAAATCAACCTTCAGTTCTTCTCCCCTCCCTGAGGTCAGGGGATGGAGCTAAAACCCTCCAGTGGTTCCCCTGGCAACCAGCTTCCATCCTGAAGCTATCTAGGGGCCCATCAAGAGTCACCTCATTAGAACAAAAGATGCTGCTATCACTAAGGAAATTCCTAGGGGCTCTGTGTTAGGAACTGGGGTCAATGACTAAATATTATAAGGAGTTTCCAAGCAACCCTATCTACAAGAGTTTTAGGAGCTCTGTGTCAGGACCAGGGGCAGAGACTAATATGTTTCCTATTATTTCACAGTATCACAGGTTGTTACACAACAGACCTCTTCTCCCTCCTCCCCAAAGCATAGAAGTGCTAGTGTCAATTGCCAAGTTCCTCACCAATATGCCAGTTATAAAGGGTAGTATTTTTTCCTCAAAAAACTTTAGATACATTTAGGGCCCTTGTTTTACAAGGCAAAGTGACTAAGAGGCTTCTAGTTTGCATCACCCGCTCTGGAGTTTCAATTCAAAGCCAAAAATGGGGTGGTGAGACTGGCTGCCTGCACTTTGGCTTTTCCAGTAGTGACATGCCACTTTGTAAAGAACAGAACAATTCCTGACTGATCAAGGAAGACTGTCATGGTACAGTATTTTAGCTTTTCGAGAAAGGACACACAGGAAAGATGAAAAATGGATGAGGATTTGGTTTTATAGCTTAGGCTTTGAATCTCTCTTGGTGTTAGAGGATATTGGTGATTGCCATATTGCAAACATCATTCACAGGGAGTAGTCTTGCCCCCAGAGTGAATTCTCATCACAAATGAGTACCTTAAAGTGCTTCCTTTTAAAAAAAAATGTGCTGATAACTTGGCGCCTGTAGCACAGGGGTTACGGCACCAGCCACATGCACCGAGGCTGGAGGGTTTGTACCCAGCCCCAGCTAGCTAAACAACAATGACAACTGCAACAACAACAACAAAAAAGCCGAGCGTTGTAGTGGGCACCTGTAGTCCCAGCTACTTGGGAGGCTGAAGCAAAAGAATCACTTAAGCCCAATACTTTGAGGTTGCTGTGAGCTGTGACACCATGGCACTCTCCTGAGGGTGGCATAGCAAAACTCTGTCTCCAAAAAAAAAAAAAGTGCTGATGTCATGAAAGAATAACCGGTCACATCTACATGTTGATTCAATTCTAAGCTTATTTTACTATATGAGTCATTTAACCTAATGATGGCAATTGCTAATAAGAGGATCACACAAGTTGATAAATTTTCACAGTTGTGATATAATTGTTAAAGCCTAATAATCAGTGAAGAAATTTGTTTTTTTTTTTTCTTACTAGTAGCTAGCTTTTAGCCCTTGAATTTGGAAAACTGGTAGATGCCGTCTTTGTGCTGCTGTAACAAGATACTTGAGACTAGGTTAACAACAATAAAACAAAACAAAAAACCCAGGAGTTTATTTCTCATAGTTCTGGAAACTGAAAAGTCCAAGATCAAGGTTGGGTTGTCTAGTGAGGGCTGCCATCTGCTTCCAAGATGGCTTCCAAGATGGCCAAGATCAAGGTTGGGTTGCTGCATCCTCCAAGAGGAATACTCTGTCTTCATAGGGCAGCAGGCAGAAGGGCAAAGATATTTGAAGCTTTATAAGGGCCCAAATCTCATCACAGGGGAAGGAACCCTCATGACATAATTACCTATTATAGGCCTCCTCTTTTAATACTATTACATTGGCCATTAAATTCTAACACCTGTGTTTTGGAGGAGACACATTCAAATACTATCAGTATGAACAATTATTCATTTATTCATTCAGCAAACACTTACCAAGTGTCTAACTCTGTGGCAGATGCTATTGAGGTAGGAAGCTTCTAAAGTGGTTCCCAATGACCCCAGTTTATTGGTATTTATGTCTTTGTGAATTCCCTCTCCTTAAATCTGGGATGGACTTCTAATGCAGGAGTTGGCAAACTTTAGTAAAGGTCCAGATAATACATATTTTTGGTTTTGTTGGTCATGCTGCCTCTTTCTTTCTTTTCTTTTCTTTTCTTTTCTTTTCTTTTCTTTTCTTTTCTTTTCTTTTCTTTTGAGTCAGAGCCTCAAGCTGTCACCCTGGGTAGAGTGCCATGGCATCACAGCTCACAGCAACCTCCAACTCCTGGCTCAAGCGAGTCTCCTACCTCAGCCTCCCAAGTAGCTGGGACCACAGGTGCCCACCACAACATCCAGCTATTATTTGGTTGCAGCCATCGTTGTTGTTTGGTGGGCCCAGGCTGGATTCAAACCTGCCACCTTAGGTGTATGTGGCTGGTGCCTTAGCTGCTTGAGCCACAGGCACCAAGCCCTTCCTTCCTTTCTTTTTTTCTTTCTTTCTTTTTCTTTTCTTTTCTTTTCTTTTCTTTTCTTTTCTTTTCTTTTCTTTTCTTTTCTTTTCTTTTCTTTCTTTCCCCTCTCTCTCTCTCTTTCTTTCTCTTTCCCACACCCTGCAGAGTCCTATGGTATCATAGCTCACAGCAATATCTAACTCTTGGACGTAAGCAATCCTCTTGCCTAGACCTCCCAAGTAGCTGGGACTACAGGAGTCCACCACAGCACCTGGCTATTTTTAAAGATGGAGGTCTCATTCTTGCTCAGGTTATTCTTGAACTCCACTTGCCTTGGCCTCCCAGAGTACTAGGATTATAGGTGTGAGCCACTACACCTAATGGTCTTTCTTGCCATTACTCAATTTTGTTCTTTTTTTTTGAGACAGAGCCTCAAGCTATCCCCCTGGGTAGAGTGCCGTGGCATCACAGCTCACAACCTCCAACTCCTGGGCTCAAGTGAGTCTCCTGCCTCAGCCTCCCAAGGGGCTGGGATCACAGGTGCCTGCCACAGTGCCCAGCTATTTTTTGGTTGCAGCCATCATTGTTTGGCTGGCCCAAGCTGGATTCGAACCCACCACCTTAGGTGTATGTGGCTGGTACCTTAAACACTTGAGCCACAGTCACTGAGCCAATTTTGTTCTTATAGTAGAAAACCAATCATAGATAATACAAAAAATAAATGAGATTGTCTGTGTTATAATAAAACTTTATTTATAAAATCAAGTGGTGGGCTGGATATGGTCTGCTGACCATATATGTTTTAAGACTCCCATTCTGACTAACCAAAAAGTGATAGTATGGCTGGGTATAGTGGCTCACTCCTGGAATCTTAGCATTTGGGGAGGTCAAGGTAGGAAGATCACTTGAGGCCAGGAATTCAAGACCAGCCTGAGCAACATATGGAGACCCTGTTTCTGCAAAAAATAGAAAACTTAGGCCAGTGTGGTGGCATGTGCTTAGAGGCTGAAGCAGGATGACTGCATGAGCGTGGGAGTTTGAAGCTGCACAGACTCCGACTTCCATCTTGCCTCCCCTCTCGACTCCCTCACTTGTGCACTGGGTGGAAGGGAGCTGCCATTCTGTGAGGTAAGCCACAGAGAGGCCCACATGGGTATGGAGCCTCTGGCCAACAGCCAACAAGGAAACGAGGCCTTTGTTCCACCAGTCTGGGATGAGCTGTATTCTGCTAACAACCACTTATGTGAGCTTGAAAGTCACTGCTTCCCCCGTCCACTTGGATTGTGAGAGACCTTGAGCTGGGGGACCCAGATAGAATCTTAACTGACAGAAACTGTGAGATAATAAATGTTTGTTATTTTGAGCCACTGAGCTTTGGGACAGTTTGTTACACAGTATTAGATAAACACTATGATAACCACGTTAGATAATCAATACACACAATAAGCTCCACACAACAATGAACAAGGGAGACACTGCCTGTATTTTCTCCTCTTGGAGACCACTGTGAACATTAGCATATTAAAACTTTAAAAATATTCTATAAAAAACCCCAAGTTTAATTTTTGTACAATCAATCATTTTCCAATCATATTTGATCACAAGTCCTGTTTTTTGGAAAAATGCCTATGAATGTCTTATGAAACTACTCTTTGGAGGAATTATAAAATGCTGGAATAAGAAAAACAAGTCATTTCATTGAAGAAATGGTGATAGCTAACCTGCTGTTTCTCCCTGGGTTAAATAGCCAGAAACACTGACATTTTATGTAACGAAAATCATCTTGTGGACATGTATACATAGAGGTTTGTTCACACCCATATTCTCTTGCGCTCTGCTCACATATGGAAGCCCACCAGCAGAGACACAACTCTCCTGTCACGATCAGCTCATTATATAACTCAGTAATCCCTTCACACAGAGGATAATAACAACTTTGAGAACTTGCTAAATAAAAATGCCATATGTTGGCTCTTGGAAGAATTTCACAGAACTACAGCTGGGCATCTTATGAAACTAAGAATTTGTTTTGAGTTAATGTTGATTCAGAAGGAGGTATTTAACTTCCCACACTGCCATGCGGTTTTTTATCTGAACACCACATTATTATGATAGTGTTTTGCCAAGTCATGTCACTGCCTTGCTTTACACATGGGGAAACTGAGGCTCAGATACTAAATTACTTGTAAAGCTTCAATTTGGGGAAGTCAGAGCAGGGATCCAAATTGTAGTCAGCATGTCATGCTGTTCTTCTTCTTCTTCTTCTTCTTTTTTTTTGCAATTTTGGCCAGGCCTGGGTTTGAACCCACCACCCTCAGTGTACCGGGCCAGGGCCCCAGTCCTTGAGTCACAAACGCCACCCAATGCCACTCTTCTATAACCTTTCTAAAATTGTTCCTAATATAGGTTTGCACAGTGCCAGTATCACAGCCAATGAGGTTTATCTGAGCACGAGTATTGCTAATTGAAAACTTTTCCCAATACCCCACCCTGACAACTCGCAATATAGTTGGCACTGGCAACTTTTGACAGTCTCTATGGAGACGGAATAATTCAGTTTTTTAACAAAGGGATTCTTCTTTCTCAAAAGGATTTCCCAGTTTAAAAAAATTATATAAAAAATTGTTTCTAATATGCTACGTGCCTTTCTAATCTACTCATTTTAAAACGTGGTTCTGACTCCGTGACGTGTGATAGGAGTAGAGGCTCTGCAAGGTTTGCTTTTGGAATTCCTCCGACTCTTTAGCAAAGTTTCCTCAGCTACTCCAGGCCATTATGAACTCTCTTCTTGGAATTTATAGCAACAAAGGGCTACTTAGAAACTTAGATGCTTCTGATGCTTGAATCTCAGTTAGAGGATAACTGACCAGGGGTCATCTACCCTGGGCTTTGCTATCTCCAGTAATAAACATGATCTCCCGGGACAACCAGAGCGGTGAAGTCATTTTCCACCATTTATATTGAGTCAAAATCTTCCTCTGTGACATCATCCATTGTTCTTAATTTTGTCTTCTAGGGATCCACAAATCACGTGTAATTTATTTTATATACTGTATATGAAAAGCCGTTAGATAGAGTGTGTGTGTGTAGTGTAAGAAAGGGGTCCAATTTCTTTTCTATTTTTTTTTCCAAGACAGAGTCTCACTTTACCACCCTCAATAGAGTGCTATGGCATCACAGCTCACAGCAACCTCCAACTCCTGGGTTTAGGCGATTCTCTTGCCTCAGCCTCCTGAGTGCTGGGACTACACAAAGTCTGGCTATTTTTTGTTGCGGTTTGGCCGGGGCTAGGTTCAAACCCGCCACCCTGGGTATATGGGGCCGGCACCCTACCCACCGAGCCACAGGCGGTGCCCTCTTCTATTTTTTTAAACAGATAATCTGTTATCTGTAAATGGGAAAATTCCTCTCTTGTGTCTTTGATTTGTCATCTAACAAGTGCCCATGTGTACCTGAGTCTGTCTGGGTAATTTCAGTTTGGTTCCTGGTTGTCGTCTATCCCCAAACTGATAACCGCATCATCTTATCACTACAGCTTTACAGTCAATCTCAGTGTCTAGAGACGTGTCTCCTTTCCCGTTCTTCCTGATTGTCTGGACTGTTTTTGGCCCTTTTTACACTTCCATGACTATTTTAAAATCATGTAAAAGCTTTGAAGCTTTAACACACACACACCCCTCACAATATCTGCTGAGACTTTTCTAACTGAGATTGCATTGAATCTGTAGATCAAGATTAGTCTCTCACTCTCAGTCCTCTAATCCACAAATAAGACATATCTCCCCTTTATTTATGTCTTTAAAAAATACTTTTTACTGAAGTTTTCTAATGTTCTTCAGAAAGCTTACACTTTTTATAGGTACTTAATGCTGTTTGATATTATCATAAATGATAGAATTTTACAAACCTCTTGATTGAAATAGAGGCTATAGAAAAATTTGCAAATCATGAGTGGAGAGGGAAGGATGGACTCCCATATCTAGGTCAGAACAAGTGCCCAGAATCACATCTCAGGTCCTCTTCAGATCACTGTTCTCTCTTTCCTTCCAAAGGTAAACTCTATCCTGACTTCTAACACCACAGTATAGAACTTTATGCAAAAGAAACCATGTGAAATGTATTTTGTTTCCAGCTTCTTTTCTTTAACGTGGTGTGTGTGCCATTTATCCATATTGTTGTATGGCCACAGGTTATTCCTCTCACCCATGTACAGTAGTCCATTCCATGGACATACGGCCGTATGTTTATCTGTCCGACTATTGATGGACACGTGGGTTGTTTCCACTTTGGAGCTGTACAATGCAGCTGTAAATATACTTGTTGATATATTTTAGTCCACTAACTGGGCAGTTGTTCTACTTAATATGTTACCAACTTGTGTTATCCTTTTCAGAGAAGGCCTTCAAACCCAGGAATCTGTAAAACTGGAAGGAACAATTGATTCATGTCTTCAGCTAGTAATGGAAAAGCTGAGAAAGCCCTTGAGCAAAATATGCTGCTTAAAACTCTGCCTAGTGACAGGGACCAACTCAAAAGGATGGTTGTCACACTGTTGTTAGCATCTCTGAATGGAATAAAGTGGTGCCCAGCAAATACTTTTAGTTGAAAAAAAAAATCTCAGGGAAGGGAGACTTAGTGTTTGGCTCTTCCTATGGAAGCCTGATAGGCTCAAAATACCTGCAAGTAACTGTATATGGAGAAAAGAAATGTCTCTAAAGAACTGGAGCACATAACACAGCGTAGACTCAAAAAAATAATTTGAGATAGATTATGAGAAATTGGCATTGTCAAGGGAATCACTGGGATGCTCCAAGAGAGAACATGAAGATTATAATGGGGTCTTTGCCCTCTATAGCAGGATTCAGCCTTTATCTATTGCAGTCCTCCTTTTTCTGTTATATCATTGCACATATTGTATGGACGGGCAAGAACCAGGTAACTTCTTTTCTTAGTTCAAAGGTCTCTGAAACAAGAGAAGTTATATGCAACTCTCCAGATCAGCAGTTCTCAACACCACAGGAACTGTATTAAGGGGTTGCAGCCTCAGGAAGATTGAGAACCACTGCTCTAGATGGTGTTGTGATTATTCACATCTCCTGGACTCTGAGTTGAAAGTGGAACTTTTGGGTTGTCTCTCTTAAAAAGTGGGTGAGTGTGGCTCGGCGACTGTAGCTCAGGGAGTAGGGCGCTGGCCACATACACCGAATGTGGCAGGTTCGAGCCCAGCCCAGGCCTGCTAAACGCCAATGACAACTGCAACCCAAAGCTGGGCATTGTGGTGGGCACCTGTAGTCCCAGCTACTTGGGAGGCTGAGGCAAGAGAATCGCTTAAGCCCAAGAGTTTGAGGTTGCTGTGAGCTGCGATACCACAGCCTCTACCAAGGGCAACATAGTGAGACTCTGTCTTTTAAAAGAAAAAAAAAGTGGGTGTGTTGTGCATGTAGAAAAGGAAGGAAAGTGACCCCCAGATCATTGTTTATCACAGATCAACTGTATTACTGTTTGTGCTTTTGTATATAATCCTCTCCCCTTGAGTGTGGGCTGGACCTAGTGACTAGCTTTCAAACAACAGAAGGTAGCAACAGTGACGGGATATTGCTTCTGAGGTTAGGTTACAAAGAGACTGTGGCTTCCCTCACCTGCCCTCTTTTGCTTTCTCATGTGCTCACTGTGACAGAAGCCAGCTGCCATGTGAGCTCCCTATGGGAGAAGCCTCCTGGGGTACGAAGGGAAGGGAGGCCTCCAGCCAATGGCGAGAGGGAGCCCAGTTCTGCCGTAACATGAATGGGCTTCAGAGCCTTCAAATGAGACTGCAGTCCTGGCTAACACCTGCAAGCCTTATAAAGAGACCTTGACAAAGAGAGACACTGGTTGTGGACTGAAATGTATTTTCCCCTAAATTCACATGTAGAAGCTCTACCCACCTCCCCACCCCCAAGCAACTGTATCTGCAATAGACCTCATGAGGAGGTAATAAAGATTAAATGAAGTCATGGGGGTCTTGATCCCTTAATCTAATTGGACGGGCGTCCTTATAAGAAGAGACAGCAGTGAGCTCTCTTCCTGCCTTCACACTGGCCACCACGAGAAGTGGCCGTCTACCAGCCAGGACAACAGGCCTCCTGATGACACCTTTGGCTTGGACTTCAAGCCTCCACAATTGTGGGAAAATAAATTTCTGTGGTTCAGGCCCCCCAGTCTGTGGTAATTAGTTATGGTGGCCCTAGCAGATAAATATGGTACTTAGAGTCTTGATTTGCAGAAACTTGAGATAATAAGTGATGTTTTGAGCTCTTAAATTTTGGAGTAATTTGTTATGCAGCAATAGATAACTAATACATTAACCAAATTATTTTCTCTATATCCTTTTTACTTTCTGTTCTCAAAAGACGGACAGATAGAATGTCCTCTTCCAGGGCTTCAAATTCTTGCTTTCTGGAAAAAGAAAAAGTCAATCTTCCTGGCAAGAATCATGCCAGTTTCTGAGTCATGAATAGCATTTCCTGAAACTTTTTATTTACTGCCATTTTCTCTGAAAAGTAACAAAGAACTTTTCTTTAGATTCAGATTTGAATGTAAGTATATAAGGACAGAATAATTGCAATGATTCAGTGATCATGGGCGTATACACATATACTCACTTTTGTGATCCTATATTATTTCTATGAATTACTGTAACTATATAATTCTTGTAAGGACAACTTCAATGGGATGTTTCTAGGTTATCTTAATTACATGTCTATTGAAATAAACTTATAGTTGCTACAAGTGGAAGAAAATAATTTGCTGAGATGTCAGCCGGGGATTCTTTTCGGAAAGCCCTGGAAGTGGAGAGCTACCACACGAGGTTCAGTGCCTGGACACCTTTCAGCAACGCATCGTTAAATAGACAGGTGAGTTGCACATTCCAGAATAAAACTAGTTTAATTTGCAAGGTTAATTTTATTGTGATATACCGGGTCTCCCATTGCCATAGTTTTAAAGAAAATCCCTCTAAAGAATTTAGTTTTTGAGTCAGTTTAAACAAAAACAAACCCAGCTTTGTCTGTCCCAGAGACAGTCTCTCCTCAGCCCAGTCCCCCGCTCCATGTCTGCCTCGCTTTTCCTCTGTACATCCAGGGACAAAATAGAGCAGTAGTTTTCAACCTGTGGGTCACGACCCCTTTGGGGGTCGAACGACCCTTTCACAGGGGTCATCTAAGACCATCCTGCATATCGTATATTTACATTATGATTCATAACAGTAGCAAAATTACAGTTATGAAGTAGCAACAAAAATAATTTTATGGTTGGGGGGGGTCACCACAACATGAGGAACTGCATTAAAGGGTCGCAGCAGCAGGAAGGTTGAGAACCACTAAGATAGAGCCTTTGGAGACACACATGGGTTGCTGTAGTGGGGAAAAAAATGAAAGGAAGGTGCTTTTATTTTTTTTTTCAGTTTTTGGCCTGGGCCGGGTTTGAACCCACCACCTCCAGTATATGGGGCCGGCACCCTACTCCTTTGAGCCACAGTCACCACCCAAAAGGAAAGTGCTTTTAAT